TCTGCTAAGCCCCAAGATTACCATGTTGGTCACATAGGACCAGAGAACATTCTTCACACTTCTGGAAACCTGCTCCACAAAATCAGTAGGTCAAAAGGATTTCCTGTATCTAAAAAGCATGACAATAAAATACACAAGACATCCACCTGAAATACACTATTTTTTTTTTTGAGACAGAGTCTCGCTTTGTTGCCCAAGCTAGAGTGAGTGCCTTGGCGTCAGCCTAGCTCACAGCAACCTCAAACTCCTGGGCTCAAGCAATCCTACTGCCTCAGCCTCCTGAGTAGCTGGGACTACAGGCATGCGCCACCATGCCCGGCTAATTTTTTCTGTATATATTAGTTGGCCAATTAATTTCTTTCTATTTAGAGTAGAGATGGGGTCTCGCTCTTGCTCAGGCTGGTTTCGAACTCCTGACCTTGAGCAATCCACCCACCTCGGCCTCCCAGAGTGCTAGGATTACAGGCGTGAGCCACCATGCCCGGCCTGAAATACACTATTAAGAACATATCCTAATCTGGCTTAAACTCCAAGTCCTGCTGCTTTTGCTCTTGTCTAGATGTAGCAGGAATGATACCTGAGGCAGGTGAGGAGAGGTGCGAGGTGCTTCTCCACAGATGTCAGGGGTCCTCAGCCCAGGCTGCACATCAGAGCCACACAGAGAGCACGCGAAAATACCCAAGCCTGGGACCCGCTCCAGACCACTCAAATCAAAATCTCTAAGTAGGAGGCTCTGGTGCTTCCCAGGTTGAGAATGATTTCACTGGTTCACATGAAGAATGATTTCAAAATGTGATTAGTGAAAGGTAAAAATATTTCTAAAGGCGAAGGCCATCTGAAGAAGGTACTAAGATATTAGTTGTTGGACTGTGGGTTTCCAAGGTAGGTAAGGTTGTGAGTGTGTGTGTGTGTGTGTGTGTGTGTGTGTGTGTGTATTACAAAATGGCATGTTTCCTAGCTATTCTTATTGTTCTTTGGTTTGGTTGCTCTTTTTCTTTTTTACAAAAATTGCCTTGGCTAATAAAAACTTGGGACAACCTGGACATAGAAAGGCATACATCAAAGAAGTCAAAGATGTAGCTTCCTGCTAGGGAATGCTTTTGCTGCATAGGTGCCAACCACTTGGCCTGCAGGAAGAAGGCAAACTCCCATGTAAAACCTTGGCCAACCCTGCCAGGGCTGGCTGAAAAATTCTACTCCTTGGGCCATGAAGCATTCTCAGCTCCCCACAGCACCAGCTGGCAAGGCCTTTACTCACACAACCTGACTGTTCTCTCTCAGGTCTCATGACCAGCAGGTTTTGGGGCACTCCTGGCAAACTTCTCCTTGAGGTCTTCCTTGTTTCCAGAATGTACGCGTGTATGCTCTATGTACACATGTGTTTTGGCAGGGGAAAGATCTCCTTTCGGATTTCCTTTGAGGATGCATTTAAAGCACTGACTTCAGGCTGGGCCAAAACGACCTGTGCACAGAGGCATGTGTAGGCGGCATATGTGTTCTTTCCACCTAGCATGAAATTCGATACAGCATCTTTGGGTCTGAGGAAAAGAAGGTGGGAGGAGAGCTGAGGAATGTCTTCATTTCCTTTCCTGTCATTAAGCCCTGCCTGGCCTGGGCTTTGTCAGCTCGGGGCAGACTCCCATCTCCAATGTGAAGCCAGGCTGTTTTGATTTCGCTTCGTTTGGGATCTGGCTCAACCTTGTTATATGCCAAATACCCTCCAGGGTGGCCTACTTTTGGGGATCTTCTCCTTGTCAGAGCTCCCGTGACTCCGTCTTTCTGTCCTTTAGGAGAAGAGCACCCCACACCCACACCCACCCTTCCCAGGGAGAAAGCTCCAAGGCTGGTTTGCCTGCTATTTTCAAAGGCTATGCGAAAAGCATTTTGCAAACTCAAGTGCAAATTAGGAAAACGTGAATGACTATGACAAAAATGATACCAGCCAGGTTCCCAAATAAATGGGGCATGCTCTGAATTTGATTGAAAGAAAAAAAATGATTAAAAAATCATGTGAAAATTGGGCTAGAGACAAAAAAATTCTCCTTTTCCCTGCTCCTGCTCAAATTTCTCTGCCCTCCCTAACCAAACCCAACTTACTTCTACTTCTAGTGATTTCTCAAGTCTGCATAACTAGTGCAAGTGGAAGCAGGTTTGTTTTGAGAAACCAAAAATATTTCACATCATGTAGGCTCCAGAAGGAATTTCATGGGCTTTGGAGTTACACAGACCTGGGTTAGACTCTTGATCTGCTACATAATAAGCATGTACCTAGAGCTTCTCTTAATATCTGTGGGCCTCAGTTTCTTCCTTAGTAAAAGAAGAACAATATCTCAGAGGGTTAGGATGAGCACGAAATGAAATAACGTGACGTATTGGTGTTCACTAAATATTGTCTTTAAATGTGCAAATTGGTTAAGAATAAGGTCTTTAGACTTCAAATTCCATCTTTTGAGTTTAACTGGTTGTGTAACCTTGGGCAAGTGATTTAACCTCTCTAAACCCCATTTTTTTCAAATATTAAATAAGAATTAAAAATTCAGCTCATAAGATATGGTACATTCTAACTAAAGTCATAATTTTAGAAAAGTTTATAATTTTAAGCCACTTTCAGATTTATAGATAATTATAATTTTTTTCTATTAACATATGTATAGCTCTGTTTCAACATATGTGCTTTACTGGTACATGGGAAATTTGCTAAAGAACATGATTATCTCCTCTCATACACTAAATGTGTTTATGTTTAGTTATCAAGTTCATTTTCATATGGAGTGTTTGAGTGTTTGAATCAAAGATAACTTTGTACTAGTCAGTTAGACATAGCCAAAAAGTGTTTCTGTCCCCAAGTATAACTATGCCACGTTACCTTACACAAGATGATCAGCCACTCCATTATTGATTAGACCCTTCTTAGGTGAGGACGTTAGGAGTAAAAAGTCAACAAGAGAGAAGTGCCCATTGTAACTAAGAATTTTGGTGGACCAACAGGAAGCCTGTTTTGTTCTGATAGACAGGAGCCCAGGGACAGGGGTGTGGAGAGGAGGGAAAAGGACAAACTGTAGGAGGACCATGTGCCAATCAGGAGACTGAGACCAGAGTGCCACGGTGGGTGCAGCCTGATCAGACCACACCTGAGACCCAATCTAATCCCATGACCTTCTATTAGTGGAGATATAATAATGACAAGACATGATTCATCGTTGCCTCTAAGTCAGCTACGTCCAATCCAATAGGGAGCATGCTCAAGGAATCATAAGAGAATCTAGTCTTGGAAACAGAAGCAGGACACTGGGGGCCATCTGGTAGCAATTGCTGCTTCTTTTCCTTTATTTATTCGTCTGGTGTTAAGAGTTGCAATTTGGTCAATAAACATGGACAAATGACATAAAAGTTTGCAACATTATGCAACACTTGGGTGCAAGAATGAATTTCATGGGACTTTGTGTAACCTTAGGATTCTGCAAAGTAGGAATGTTATATTAGTACTATTAATATTTTCAGGGATGAACAGAGAATGAAGCACTGAGGCTCTCCCAAGCTCCTAAGTGAAGGGCATTCAACTCACCCAACCCTCTTTCTCTCTACCACATGCCTTTGGCCATCCATGAAGCATGTGCACACACATGCACTCTCAACCTCACGCATGCACACACACACACACACACACCCCTTTCAACAGCACCCTTCAAATCATGCCAACTGAGTTTTCACCTCCTTAGCTTTCCTACAAGGCTGGTCATGTCAGGTAGCTAGTACCTCCACTCTCCTACCATAACCCTTTAGACACAGCTGCAGCCTCTGCCCATGTTTATTAAAGTGGGAACTTGTGGCCGGGCATGGTGGCTCACGCCTATAATCCTAGCACTCTGGGAAGCAGGGCGGAGGACCGTTTGGGAGCTCGGGGTCAAGACAGCCTGGCAGGAGCTAAGACGCCACTCCTACTTAAAAAAAATAGAAAGAAATTAGCTGGACAACTAAAAACATATAGAAAAAAATTAGCTGGGCATGGTGGTACGTTGCCTGTAGTCCTAGCTACTCGGAAGGCTGAAGCAGGAGGATTGCTTGAACCCAGGAGTTTGAGGTTGCTGCAAACTAGGCTGATGCCATGGCACTCTAGCCCAGGCAACAGACACTCTGTCTCAAAAAATCAAAAAATAAAGTGGGAACTTGCTTATTATTGTTCCATGGGGCTTGCATTGTGCCTGACACACAGCAGGCATTTTTTATGCAGGGAGAGAAGAGGAGGGAGGAGGGGAGGGGAGGGAGAGGAGAGGGAGGGAGGGAGGGATACAGAGGAAGAAGGAAGGGAAGGAGGAAGGAGGAGAGGGAGGGAGGAAGGAAGGAAGGAAGGAAGGAAGGGAGGGAGGGAGGGAGGGTTTTTGCAAAGGTTCAATTGATATGACTTGCTCCAACTTTATTCGTTATCTTGTTTCTTTTTCTTATTTTTGCTCTAATTCCAAGGTCCCAGGGAGAAAGAGTGATCCAAAATTAAGATCAAATACTTTACTGTTCAAAAATAAAGATATTTCAAAAAGAAAGTTTATAGATCTAAAACTAGGTGTTATATTATCCATATGGATATGAACTATTAAAGTCAGAATTCTGTTAAAGTTTTACCATAGGAAATGGCTAATATGGCACATCTACAGAGTAGAAAACCTTTGAAAAACTATGTTTAGAAGAAAATTTCATTGTATGGATAAAAATTTACAAAATATATTTAAGTTTTAAAAAAAGTAGATTGCACAACAAAATGTATAATAGATCTTCCAGTTTTGGAAAAAAAAAAAAACTATGTATGAAAGAATAGATGGGTATACCCCAGAATGTTAAAAAGGATTATTTCTGGGTAATGAATTATAAGTGATTTTTATTTTATCTTTATGCTTTTAAACATCTTTCCCAAATTCATGCAAAATTTACATGCATTAAATTTATAATCAAAAAGGAAATTATTACAAGAAAATAAAAGTCATATGAATACTAAGTGGAAATGTGAACACTAAATGAGAAAAATGATTTAAGAAAATCTCCGCATTTAAGTCAAGGTTCGCAAAATGTGATGGTTACTACCAGATGTCATAAAGGCAAGAAGATTTCTTTAATTATTGTTTTCCAGATCAAAATTCCCAGAAACTTCCACTGCTATGTGAGTGGTTTCTGATTACTCTGTACAACAAACCAAGCTCTTAGCTTTCCTGCTTATTTTCCAAGCAAGGCTGACCATCATCTCTAGGGAAATACATATGACTTTATACTTAAGTCCTCCTGAAAACTCAAATGCCACCGCAGCTCATTTCAGTGTTATTGTTTGCTTATTTGTTTATTTGGGAGGGCTGTACAAACACAGACCCACACACAGACAGGAAACCATAAAATAGCGACCTTACTGTTTGGAAACTCAGGAAGACATGTCTCCATGTATGCCATGATAACATCTGCTTCTAATTGAAATGATTTATCAAAGTGCCCATCAGGAGAAACGAGTCAGCAAGTGCATAAATCTAACACAAACGCATTCTGCTCTGAGCTTGGAAACATAACGTCTAGTCTTCTTTCTGATGTCAAGAAGGCATCAGCTAGCTGGCTGAGCCCATGCAAATCAACGCATATCTCAATAGCTCAGTCTCCCCATCTGCGCAATGCAATTTTTTTTTTTTTTTGGCATCATGCAACCACTTACTGCAAAATAAGTTTATTGGTGGTCATGTTATGTAATTTATTCCCGATATCTGATGTTGCAAACTTTAGGGTCTTTGAGATACACAGGATCCTTGTATGTAACTGGCATAAACCCCAGTATTTGAGCTCTCTTGATCCCTTTTGTGATTTCTCTCTGTTTCGTCCCACAAAGACCTGTTATGTGTCTTCCATAAATGCATCCAGTAAATGGAGAAATAAACTGGGACAAAAGCTATACATTCTTATAATCTACACGTTTTCCACACAAGATACATTTCTTAGGAGGCTCCTTATAAGGATTTTCCATTGGAACAGGCATGTCCTCATTGCTGGTCACCTGTTTGTACCGTGAACAACCTCTGCTCCACGACACTGCGTGAGGGCCAGGATGGGTGAAGCAGACAGCAGCCGTGATCAAGCATGCCAACTTTTCCCTCCCTAGACCACTGCAAACAGTGACCACGGCTGCCATGATTCCCCGTCTGCATAATGAAATTAATACAAGATACTGATGGCCAATTTATATCTCTGGCCATGGGGACACTTCTCCTTTACTCATTTATTCTTCTGATAACCATAACGGAGGACTTTCCACGTGACAAGCATTCATCCTCCAGGTCTTTTACTCTTTGTCCCCACAGACAGGCTGCCTGTCTGGGGCCCCCACTAGCCTTCCCAAAAGGCACCCCAGTCCCTCCTCTGCCTGTCCCTTAATCCATCATGGTGAAAATGGAGGAGGAAGGGGGTGCACAAAAGAAAAGCGCCATAAAGCATGTTATGACGTGACATAGTATGGCATAAGGTATATAGAACACGGTTGGTTTCTCAGATAAAATCACCTTATAAGCCCATGGCCGCATTGCCTTGCAGGGTGGTGGTACCTGGAAATGATTTAAAACTTTGTGTTGTTTTGCATCTGTTTGTTTGATGTCCTACTATTTGTTTTGGCTATGCCGTTAGGACCTACTGAAGGTCAAAAGCAAATACACAGTAAACAAAAGGATGACCCCAGATGCCGCAGCAGGATTCAAAGGAGTGAGGATTTTGCTTGGTTTCAGTAATGTTAGAAACACTTCTCTGGTCTCACCAGCAGGGGGAGAGAAGGCTCAGAGTACTTGGGAGGCTCAGCAACAAAGTGCTTCTCCCCCGAGCAGTATTGCATCTGCGAACGCTGGTGCCCAGGACTTAATACCTCAAAGGAACCCTGGTCTTCAGATTTAGAAAAGAAAAGAAATCAATCCTGGGATCTCTGAATTCTGTGTAACAGCACTGGGGCTGCCACATGCAGTCTGAGTCACAGAGTTGGCACCGCCGGGGCCTCTCCTTCTAAAACGACGCGCAAGTTGGTATTCGAATGGCAGCGTGTAGCCTGGCACCGGGTAGAGGAAGCTGCATTTCCCCGACGTGTCTGAGACATGTAGCAGTGTGGCTTGTTTAAAGTTTGTCTCATTTTTTTTATATTTTTCTTTGCTGGGGGGTCAAGCCAACCCAAGCAGCCAATTCCCAAGCTTTCATTTTAAGCAGTAAGCACGGTTCGCAAATATTTCCCTGAATAAAGAGGACTGGAACACAGGTGCAACCGCAATATTCATGGGGGTCTTGGACACCAGTCCCCGTAAGCAGGAGATAATTCATGTAGTGAAACATGCAGGAAAATAGGAAACAGGAAGCAAAAATGCGTCACTACAGGACGGCAGCCAGCGTTCTTCCTTATCCAAGAGGCTCTAATCTGAGAATTACATGAGCAAGAAGATAGGAATAGTCTACACCACCTGTGATGGTTAATGTTCGGAGTCAACTTAACTGGATTAAAGGATACGTGGAGAACTGCTAAAGCATTATTTGGGGATGTGTCTGTAAGAGCGTTTTCAAGGGAGATCGGTGAGTGAGTCAGTGGACCGTGCGTTGGGACTCCAGGACTTACATCAGCCACCCCTCCCGCCCTCATCCCAGGCTGTCTGAGGCTTTGGGACTTGGATACAGCCACATTACCAACATCCCTGGGTCCCCAGCTTGCAGAAGCCTCCATAATCACATGAGCCAATTCCCCTAATAATCCCCTCTCATCTATCTATCTATCTATCTATCCATCTACTTAGGCTATTGGTTCTGTCTCTCTAGAGGACTCTAATACATTGCCACAGGGAGGAAAAAAGTTTTGCAGTAGTATTATTCACCATAGCCAAAAGATGGAAGCAACCCAAGCTCCAACAGCAGATGAATGGGTACACAAAATACAATTGGATATTATTCAGGCTTAAAAGGGAAGGAAATTCTGACCCATGCTACAACATGGATGAACCTTGAGGACATTATCTTAAAGTAATATAAAGCCAGTCCCAAAAAGACAAATACTGTATGATTCCACTTGTATGAAATACCCAAAGTCATCAAATTTATAGAAACAGAAAGTAGAATGGTGGTTGCCAGGGGCTGGAGGGAGGAGGGAATGGGGCGTTAGTGTTTAATGGGTACAGATTTTCAATTCAGAAAGAGGAGAAAGTTATGGAGATGGATGATGATGATGTTTGCACACCAATGTGGATGTACTAAGTGGCACAGAATTGCATACTCAAAAATGGCTAATATGCTCAATTTTATGTATCCTTTACCACAATTTTTTTAAAGCTTAGTATTCATAGAACATCTTTTGTCCAAAAGTTAGAGTAATAAATTCGTTGACCCCAAAGATTTCTATAAACAGTCATCAAGAATTATGATGCCAATAGTAATGATGGATTTACATCCGTCATCTGCCTATTTCATTCAATCAGAGTGAGAGGTTGTCAAATGACTGTCCAGGATGAAGGGCGAAGTCTCGAACCCTAAAGAAAAATGGAGTTATTTTCTCATGCAAACTTGAAGCCACCTCGTGTGTGTGAAGCTGAATCTCTGATCTTCCCTGGCATCCACCACCCACTATTATTCACTCGCCATGAACAAGCAGCATTGAGCACCCACGGTATGCAAACCACCAGTGAAGTCACAGTGGAATTTACAGAGAGATGCAAAACACAACTCCTACCCTCTAAGATAAAACAGAGGACTTGAGACAATGAGACACACAAGCAAAGATAAATACTAATAAAATATAGTATTTCATAAGTACCATGTCAATGTAGCAACCTGACAAATAAGCAAGTAAGAACTTAGAAAAATAGAAAAGAAAAAAAAAGCTCAATTCCCCAAGGTTATATATCAAGATTAAAGGCATTACATCTATTCTTGCACTAATAATATTTAGTGACAACCTGATGAGATAGCTATCACTGCTACCCCAATATGGTAGATGAGGAAACCAAGGTTGAGTGAGGTCAAATAACTGTGCAAGATGATCAACCATTCGATGAAAACACTGAGTTCTCATTCAGGTTCATCCGACTCTGTAGCCTGTGCCCTTAATTCTCATTCTCTCTTGAATGTGTAGTACCATACTTTATATCTGATTTCTTTTTTGCACCCTTTAAGTGTGATTTTGAATTGCCGTTTGGCTACACAAAAAATATAAAATATTTGGCAATCTTAATTGCTGAGCGTATAAACTGTGTCAAGCATCTAGAGCAAAAGATATTTAGATTTGGATACTCAGAGTCACATATGGACAAAAGACAAAAAAGAAAATCCCAGGTTGTGATTTGGTAGCACAGAATGACAATTAGCATTCCAGGAATCACGCATGCACTAATTAATCATGGATGTCACTGACTGCTTTAGGACACACGGATAAGAAACTGCTTTTAATATCTAATTCCATATTAAGGATAGTCCTTGTCATGATTCTAGGAGAAAAGACAGGTATTATAACATCTTTGTAATGGCATCGATTTATAATAGCTCGTAGAGATAGCCCTAAGATTTGAAAGTCTGGGTGCTGACATTAAAAGGTGTCTGGAGCCCAGCCTCCTGTTTTCAAAAGACCCAATGGAAAGTCTGCAGATTCCTTCCTCTCAACTACCAATAAAAGTTAGTGTTCTTCCACAGCACTTCACTTTTAATATGATACCATTAACAATGATCACTAGAATATGCTATTTTGGCCATTTTTTTGTAACAGTGAGCATCCACTTGTGCTGATTCATCCACAGATTTTCCGTCCAGATGCCCCATTGGCAAAGCCCTGGAGCCTTTCCTTCATTAGTTCTCTGCTCCAGCCATCCGAGGAAATTCCTTCCCCTTCTCTCCCCTGATCTGCCCGTGCAAATAGAAGCTATCCAAGGAATAAACAAACCTGCAGGAAGAGATAAGCCAGGCTGCACTGAGGAATACGCGGGAAGGGTCTGCAGGGGCTGGAGGTTGGACTTGAGATGGGGCTGCCTTTCTCTGCCCTTGAACGGGGCCAAGGTAGAAAGGTCAAGGTCACCAGGGAAAGAAGGAAGAGAAGGGAACCGTCTGCTGCTGTGAAGAAACCATCTGTATCTGTCTCGAAATCTTTTGTTTCTGTTCAAATGTGTTTCACCTACTTTGTTCTGGATGGTTTTTATTGTGACAGGACTCAGAGATGAGTTTTTAAGTCTCACCGCTAAGTGAGCAAAGAGAAATAATACAATGTGCGTGCTTATGCACATGCGTGAGTACCTGCAGGGGACTGTGTGTGTGTGTGTGTGTGTGTGTGTGTGTGTGTATTTTTTTAATCAAGAATATCATGTTTTAGCCCCAAAGATTTCAAAGTCAGTCAATAATTGGGGGAGAAAGTGAAGAGTAACTTATTGTTCTTTTGACGAGTTTGCTTTGAGGCAAAAAAGACACAAATTGGTTGGAGCTTGCAGAAGAGAAAGGAAACTAACTTTCATTGAGTACTTACTGTTCACTTAAGATAGCTTATTAAATCCTCCCCAAAACCTTTCGAGTTAAGTATTATCTCCATTTTATGGTTGTGGAAACGGAATCCCAGAAATGTTAATTTACCTAATAATCTGGGAAAAATAAGTGGCAGCGATGGAATTCAAATCCAGATGTTTCTATTATACCTTCACCTAGCAGGGAAAGGCTAGCTGAGCCGGAAGGATGAGAAACCCGGAAAAGATGTCAGCACATCAGCTAACAACCACGTCAACTGTGCATGCTTGTTGTTAATATGCCCTTGGCAATCTTATTGATATTCAAATAAAGCACTCCATGTGGCTCTGGACATGATGCTAGACATGATTATGATATCCTAGGACATGTAAAATCCCCCTAAGATTCAGAACCCAGTGATAGAACAAGGCTTAGTTAACAGCCTATTGATTTTTTTAAAGAATCCATATTTAATTTTACATAGGAATTCATATTCAGTGTCTTGCTCTTTTATTCTTAGCCATTTAATAAACAGATTGGTTTTTTTAAAGAAAATACATAATCAATGGGAAAATATGATAAGCTGTTAATTAATTTTCCTCCTGAGCTGGTCAGGAGGAAAATTCACAGTGTTCTTTGTACTCTTATAAGTTCACAGCGAAACCAGCACCTACAAACCAATGTCAACACATCTTAATTATGGGGAAAATCTGCAGGCAAAAATAAACCCTCTCTAAGGGTAATAGATGCAAAGATAGAAACTTACGAAATAATAACTTATGAAAGGTCAAAGATAGTCATAATTCTTTTTCTACATTCTTCCCATCAAGAGTTGTACTTGTACCCACTCTTGGGTTACATTTCCTTAAATCTGAGTGGGCTCTGTGATTATTTGACCAATAGATTATGGCAGAAGTGACTTTTTCTGGGCCCAGGTCTTTAAAAGACTGACAGTTTCTTGGAACTCGGCCACCATGCTATGAGGAAGCCCAAGTAGTCCCAGTGGAGTGACTCAAGTAGAGAGGAAATGACATCCCCAGCCACAACCACAGCTGAACTCCCAAATGACAGCCAATATCCAAGGCACGGTGAGCCACACGGGAGGTGGATCCTGGAAGGTGGATTCTTCAACCTCAGCTGGTGCTGTGTGGAGCAGAGATAAGTTCTTCCCACTGAGCCCTGTCCAAATGGCAGTTATATGAGCAAAATACTGACTGCGGTTGCTTTAAGCTGCTAAATTTCACTTGGGTCCTTGGACAAGTTATTTCATCTTCTCTAGGCTTCATGTTCAAGGTGTGTGAAGTCTATGTTAAAAAGGCCTATTTAATCTGACTTTTGTGTGTTCCAAATGAAATAATAACTGTGGAAGTCTTTTTAGCTGTAAAACAATTTGATTATTAGTTGTCATCATCATTTTCATGACGATGGATGAGTTAATGTTTGAGAAGGACTTAGAACAGTGCTTGGCACATAGTAAGTACTGTATACATGATTGTGTAATAAGATAAAATGAATGGGATCAGTTTGCATCCCTTCACTAGAGTCCTCAGCATCAACCAACTCTGCCTGCCTCTCTGGCCTGACCTTGTCATGCTACTGTCATCCTGCTCATTGCTGCCACACACACTGGCCCTCTTCCTGTTCTCTAAGCTTTTCCCTCCACAGGACCTTTGCACTAGCTGTTCTCTCTACATGTAGAATTATTAATATCTTTCTGGATCTTTCTTGCTTGGCTCTTACTCATCTTTCAGATGTCAGCTCTTCTGAGAGGCTTTCCTGGATCACACCCAATAAGTAAATTATTCCTGCCCTCCCTTCCACAATTAAGTCACTTTCCCATGCATTATCCCACTTTATTTTCCATAAGACTTATGCTCCTGTATAAAATTATCTTACTGATCTGTGTACTCCTTTGCTGCCTCTCTCCCCCCATGAGAACATAAGAGTACAAAGAACAGGGACCTTGTCTGTCTTGTTTGTGACTAAATCCCCAGTGCCTAGGAAAGAATCTGGCACTCAGTAGGTATTCATTAAATACCTCGTGAATTAATGAATGAAAGAAGCCTCTCTTCTAGCTGCCTTCTGGGGTGTCAGTGATCCTGGTGAAGCACAGTGCCCAGTACTGGACTCAGTGCACTGGGTGATATCAGACCAAGAGTAGTGGCAAATACTATGGACATCTATCAGTGCAGCCTGAGATCAAATGAGCTATTTTGGCAACCACATTCTAATATTGACTCACATCATGCTTTCTTTCAACTCAACCCCCTGAGCCTTTTTTCTGCATGCCGCTCCAAGATGTAGTTTACCCTCTCTGTATTTATGCTTGTCCACACCTGGCTGGTGCCTTTAACTGTTCCCTCTCCACCCATGCCTAAGGCCATCGCAACAGATAAAAAAACAGGACAGGAACCGGCAGCACAGGAACTGCCCCAGGCTCTGCCTACAACCTGCCTCCCCCACCCTCTCCAAGACTTTTCTGTCAACAGATCTCTGGCTGGCTGGCTCTGTAGCTGGATTCTCCCTGCTCCCCTAACCTCTTTGGATATTACTCTATTGAATGGCCCTGCCAGCTTTTAGTTCTGCATCTCCCCAAGACAATACCACCTGATT